GAAGAAGAAGAAGACACTCGTCTAGTCTTCTCTCTCTTGTTGTTCAGAGGAGGAGGAGGAGGAGGAGGAGGAGGAGGAGGAGGAGGAGGAGACGAAGAAGACGACGATGATGAAGAAGAAGAAGAAGAAGAAGAAGAAGAAGAAGAAGAAGAAGAAGAAGAAGAAGAAGAAGACACTCGTCTAGTCTTCTCTCTCTTGTTGTTCAGAGGAGGAGGAGGAGGAGGAGGAGGAGGAGACGAAGAAGACGACGGAGAAGAAGAAGAAGAAGAAGAAGAAGAAGAAGAAGAAGAAGAAGAAGAAGAAGAAGAAGAAGAAGAAGAAGAAGAAGACACTCGTCTAGTCTTTTCTCTCTTGTTGTTCAAAACTCCAAATTCTAAGTTCCAATTTCCTAAGATCCCACGATCCGGTACAGACCCACGGTTTACAGAACTGTTGCAGAACAGCTTGCCACGGCGGAGGATCGATGCGCGCTGGCTTTGGTAGGGAGCTTTGGGACCTTTAGCAGATCGAAGAGCTTGTCGCGGTCCTTCCTAATTTCTGCCACGGGAGAGTCCCAGCGCGTTTCTGTGAGAATCTCAAATACTTCATCCAGGCAATCTTGTCTTTCCTCCCCCTCCTCGCCGTCCTCCTCCTCTTCCTCCTCCGCTTCCTGCTCGTCGTCGTCACACCTTGTCAGCAGATGGAGATATAACTGTTCCGCGGTGTATTTACGAATCTGTAACAGAAAAGCAGCCAGGTTCGCATAACGTGAACATGATCAGTATCTTACTATCTGTCCATGCCACTGCGTGGGGTCGAACTGGTGATCACCGCCATAATAATTTTCGTACGCCTTGAAGTTCATGGCTGAACCGTGATGCAGAGTTCAAAAATTGCAAAAAATCATTACCTGGCTAGCTTTCGAGCCCAGGCGCCCGGGCCCCCCCAGGTCGCCCGGAAGGGTGCCCAGGGCGCCCGGCCGGGCGACCCCTCCGGGCAGGCACCCGGGCACCCTCAGCGCCACCCCCCAAAAACCTCAAAAAAAAAAAATTGGCAACGCAGGCCTACGGCCCAAAGGGGGGAAAAAAATTAGGCGGCGGGCGCAAAATTTTTCAGGGCCTGGTAGGCCCTGTTTCATGGCTTTTTTTTTTTTTGTGCCTTGGCCATCGATCTGCGTCGATCCTCTTATTCTTAGTCTCTTCAGTTCTTCTTCTTCTTTTCGTTTCTTCTTCTCCTTTGTCTTGCTCTTCTTCTTGTTTCTCCTCCATCAGTCTTTCCTCCCTCCACATAGTCGCCCTCTCCTTCCTCTACCATCTCCTCCCTCCACATCAGTCTCCCTCTTGCCCCCATCCTCCTCCATCAGTAAACCTCCCTCCACATAGTCTCCCTCTCTCCTTCCTCCGCCATAGCTCCCTCTCTCGTCCTCCACATCAGGCTCCTTTCCTCTGCCATAGTCTCCCTCCTGCCTTCTTCGCCCGGCCGGGCCCCCCGGGAAAGCTAGTTACCTGGTGACGAAGGCACAAAACCATGCAAAGCAAAGCACAAAAAAAAAGACGGAGAAAAAAAAAAGAAAAAAAAGCAGCACCGGCAAAGCACATGAATCACATGGAGCCAGATCAGTCACAACAACACACACACACACACACACAGAAAAAAAAAAAAAAGCCAATCAGAACCCACTCCAGTCACAATCCCCTAAAACAACCATCCACGTGCAAGGCCTTTGTTAAGCAGAACATTTTACTCCAATGACAACCACCTCCCCACCCCGTGACTGCGCGCCCCCCCATGACCATACTACCTACGGTCTTTCCCCAAATACAATACACCTTAATTGTAAATGTATACAAGCTATCTTTCCGACTCAATACAGTCGTGATGACGGTGAGGTTCAGTCAGAAGAAGATAGTATATTATCATTGACTGCAGCACAACAGAAGATATGTGCACAAAAAAAAAAAAAAAAAGAAAGGAAGGTACTAAACGCGCACACACAATTTTCCAAAACTTTCCCACCGAAGCTTCCTGCCTATGTATGTATGACATACGGCATCGCCACACCACTCTCGAAACGTGAAAAAATGCCATGGGTGCATCTGGCCATGTTCTAGCGGGAGGTTCATTCTCATTTCGCACATTTTGAGAGTGGTGTGCGGATGCCCTCATGCATGACCTGCTTCCGACAGATCGGCGCCACAACAGCATGACGCCGCCTGTCGTCTGCTGACAATCTCCAAGTCAAGCATGTCAGCAGAACCTGCAGCATGCATGTCAGAACCTGCCGGTCAGGTAGCGGTGTTTTTTTTTTTTTTTTTTTTTTTTTTTTTTTAAGAAAGCCCAGGATGTATCCTAGCTTACCTTCGGGAAACAATTACAGAGCAGGGTGAGCAGCTGAAACATCGCCAACGATCGCGCCGGTTCTGGCATGGGTGCGAAATGGCAGGCCAGATTTACAGCAGCCATCAACTTTGGGATGTCGCGACAACCCCTGATCTCCAGCTTCACACATTCCAAAGCCTCGAGCGCAAACTGCTCCTCTGGTGGCTGATCGACCGCCACAATGTTTTGTTCACATTTAATATTTTTGAACACCCATCGATCGCCAACACAACGAACACAGCAATACGAAAACCAATGCCATTATTTGCATTATAATTATGAAACAGCTTTCACCTTTGGCAGTAGCCGATGCAGATCCCAGGGGTCGATCCCTTGACCTCAGCTTACCTGTGTACAGTATCTGCACAGTTCCCTGGAGTTGAACCCGTGACCTGCACGATAGCCAGTGGTAAGTAGGTC